TGAGTTGGGGGGGGGGGGGGGGGTGAGACATCTGTTGCCTGCCACATACAATGTTTTAACACCCCTCTCTGGGCAGGTTAATAAAAACTCCTAGCTCCAATGGAGCAACATTCAGCATATTTATTTCAGATAATTTTTGTACAAGTCATTCTGAATTGAGAAAGCTGGTCAGATGTCCAGTGAAACGTCTTCAAGAAATATACAGCAAGTCCAGTTGTCTTGACTTATTTTTTACAGATATACCATGACCTGGGTGAATGAGAACCTTCACAGACTTAAATCAAGAAGGGCTCAACTTAGGATAACAATTCCTCTGATGCACAACTGCAGTACAAATAAAAGTGCCTCTATTGAACTGCGTTTTTCACCCATTGCCTAACCAAAAACCTATATTTATTTTAAATAGACAATGAATAGCAAGAGATTAACTTACGGTATTGAGACTATCTGCAGCATAGCAGTAAATCACTGAAGAAAATAATGAGTCACCAGCCTCCAGAGAACAGATGCATGTGAATAAAAATAACATAATACTGTCCAAAATAGTAAAATAACAGCTCCATAATAAGAAAAGTTTATTGAGGTTAAATAAAGTACTGTACATAAATTAAATAATACTTCTTGATTTAATCTGAACTAGGAAATGCACAAGTTCTGGGCAAAACCTGAAGCATATAAAAATGTCAAGCTTCATAAAACACAAAATGACCATACTACTAGTTGAAAACCTCCTGTAAGACTCAACAAGCAGCAGTCAAACTCACATTTCATGGCTGTGATTGTAAAAAATTGTGGGTTACGCTAGAGAATACTGGTGAATAAACTGGCAGTGTGTACAGTGTATCTGCAGGATGGAGCTGCTATCTCCACTGAGGAAATGATCCAACATGTGTATATCATATAAAAAGCTTGTAGGTCATGAGAATACATGCAGGGAGGTTTATGAAGACAACCGTTCTAATGTCTTTAAGATTAAAACCACACCTTAATTTAACCTCTTTATTGATTAGTGTCACTTTATTATTCTCTGCGGCAGTTTATTTATTTTTTCAGCTACACAGATTCAGGATCAATAAAATACACACACAATTGTAAATCCTGCTGAGTTTGGACCTTTGCATACAGCATCTGTAGATTTATTTTTTTCTGCTTCAATAGTTTCCTCATATATCAGAAAGTGAACTTTGGCCATCCTCCCACTGAGCATTTTGATCACCTAGCTAGGACTATGTCACACAAAGATATTTCTATAAAAAGTTTATGCCAGGACATATTATTCACAGCAACACACAGCTGCCTTAGGCCACAATGCTTATTTCCTGGTATTCTCAGATTTTTTATTTTAATAAATTAGTGAAAGAACTACAAGAAACATGTTCTAAGAGAAATATGCAGGGTTTCACTTCTGATCTCCTTCTTAATATACCTGGTGTACGGCTGTCATGGGCTTTAACACTTTCTGAGTTACAGACAAGCATACAGCAAATAAAGTCAGAGTAAATCCTTTTAAAGGATTAGTGCACTCTAAATGCATTAACCAACTCCCTATTCCCCCCAAATTATGAGCAAGTTTGTAATAATTTATAACACAGTTTTTGAAATGGAGAAATGGGAAACTGGACTCACAGTAAGGATCTCCAAGAAGTATATTACTAATTATAATAATACTAATCACACTTCACGTGCCCTTAGCCAGGGGCCCAACTGTAACCATATAAGCCTTGCTCATCTTTTGTGGTAAGGTCCGTCTATGCCTCTTCATTTCAAAGTGGCTCTCCATCTATACTGTCCTCAGCGCCACAAGAGCGAGCTTGGAGCAGTGGATACTTTACAACACACACAGGGACAATGGGGAACAAAAGTAGCCACCCTCCAGAAGGAAGGACAGTGTCAGCATTAATTCAGAGATGATTTGAGGATCTACAGAGTTTAGTGTTATTAAAGAAACTAGAAACAAACCATAAAACAATTTGGTGTGTATTTAGGTTTGTAAAGCAATAGTTATAGGCGTTATGTAGACATTACTTTCCTTTTGCACTCCTAAAGGAAATATAAGAGTGTGCAATCATCATTTACTTAATTGTTTACTGATGTACTTTCATGATCTTAAAGCAGACCCTGCTCTTCAGTGACAAGGTCCACTTGTTCAAACTGCTCCTCTTCCTACAATGCAGTGCATTAACAACAAATGTTATTCAGTTAGGGTTTAGATGTATTTTAGGAATATAATGGCTTTCTAAAAACATTGTTTGAAAATATTTATACATATTTAGGGTGAACTGTAAGCATAATTAGGTGGAATAAATGTCATGTCAAGGGCTCCTTGACACTTGGTGATCTATAAAAAGTACCCTGCAAACATTACATTTTGTGGACAGTTATGTGCTATATAAAGTTGGAAAATTCCCAAGTACAGCACCAACATCAACTTACCAATTCTTGCCCATCCTGTAACAGTGGCAGAAATGTGGCTTCCAAAATGTTGATCTGGTCTTTACTAAGTTTCTGCCACAATCCTATTAGCAGAATTATCAGCTGTGTTGCACTTTTCAGCTTTGTGAAAGCCCGGAACAGGCTGATCTGTAGTTCTTCAGTTGCATCTGCTATACTAATAACCTGTAAGATATACAGAACCATGCATCAAGATTAACTATGTGTTTAGACATATACAAACTATTTTGAGTATTATTTTGGTCTATTGTATTTTAACATATCTGTTATAAAATGACTAAGCAACAAGATGTTCTGTGTGTATTATATATATACATACATTTACCATCTGGCAACAGCCAATACACAATGAAAAAAATAATGAAATACTTTCTTCTACGTGTATAGTAAGATGAAGTCTTTCAGTGTGCTGCACCCTACACGCAGAACTTTTACCAGGCTATGGACATATATAAATATTTACATCTTCATAACAAACAGTAAAAAAATTTTAAAGCAAGCTCTAACTAACGTCTGCAGCTGCAGGCACTACAGCTCAATCCATTCTCAAAGTTTACAGCAAAAAGCACTTTTATTTCTAATGTAATACTTCTAATCTCTAAAGTAGACACAGAGAAGGTGCACTAGGAAAGAAGAGCCAACTTAAAATGACTTCACTGCTTCTTTTGTGGACCCTGAGAATGAATTGTTCCACAGGGCAGCTACAGGTCATTGGGGGTTTGTTTTAAAGCTTATTCTGCTATTTACTCATTGTTAATAATGTGTTTATATTTTATTGTTCATAGCCTAGAGTTTTTTCTTAAAAATAAGAATGAAAAAAAAGAGTAAATAATATAAAAATATAGAGTTAATAACAACTTATTATAGCTAAACAGTGCTTCTCTCACTGTACCTAGGTCTCAACCTGCATTTTTAAGTCTGCAATTCTTGATAAAATAGCTCTTTGGTGCTTTGCATTTTCTCAAATCTGCATTTCTTCAAGCAGAAAGGTTTCTCTAGACAATCCAGCATTTTTCGGAAATTCCAGATTTTAAGCCAACTTATAACTTTATCCAGAAAAAAGACAGTAATCAGCTAGAGATCTGTGGTAATATTTAGATGACTTTACACAATGGGGTTGATTTACTAAAGGCAAATAGGCTGTTTACATTGCAAGGGAATTTGAACCTTTCAGGGGAAGTCTCCCTTACCTGCTGGTGAAATTTCACTTTGTAAAGAATACCCAATCACATGCAAGGAAAATTGCTTGTACATGATTGGGTGATGGAAGGTATCAGAGCTTCATCACATTCTCTAAACTTAAGGGAAATTCCCCTGAAAAACGCAAACTCCCTTGCAATGTGAAGAGCCCGTTTGACTTTCGTAAATCAACCCCAATATGTCATTTTTTTTTATAAATATGGCAGTCATTTCATTTAGATTTCCTAAATGTATTTTTATGGCAATTTTTTTTATCAGTTATTGCAGCATAGAAGCATAAAACTTCAGGGCTAAGAAATGTGAGATGGGTTAGTGGTGAGGTCCCGTGGACACTTTCCTATCAGCTATCCAAAACAGACTATAGAGCCGCAAAAGAGCTCAAAGCTGTTTGGCTGTGTTCATCATGCTATATGTCTTACCCTTAAAACACAAAAATAGCTCTAAGTGCTCTAAAAACCAAGAGGCACTTTTATGCAGCTGGATGCCGGGGTGAAAAAATTATGTTTAGCATGTAGCTATGTCATGAGGTCATGCAAATGCGGGGATACAAAAGAATTTGATTGCATAATTACAAAAACAATGCCTTCAAGGAATTATATGTCTGCAACATCAGTAAATGATGTAAGAAGATATTAATACGGCATCCATAACAATGTTGTAAAACTATTTTTAGCCCTATTGAAGGTAATAAAGAAGATTCCTTGCTGTAACCTTATAAGATAAGAATAAACAAGCTCAATCTCAAGTCTTGGCAAATAAATATTTCCAGTGTGTGAGGTCAGGCCTGCTTTTTTAAAGCAAAGTGATTAGTCACCCTATTAATATAAGGCATGCAGATGTTACATGCCCCTGTGAACCTTTGACAAGTTCTAAGGATAACATGGGGTTTATATTGGGTACCGATAACTACCACAGAGAAACTTGATCCAAGACCTTCAGAGGAAACAAGTATTGGCCACACTTGATTTTTCTGATGTTTGTCTATTGTCCTTTGCCATTAGTGGAGCAGTAACTGCAACAAGACTCAAAGCCATGTATGTTTGTAGAATAAACATATGCGGATGCACACATTTATTGACTAATAAAAATATATTTAGGTGGTCTAATCATTTGTCTATGGATGTGTTGGGAAATAATAAATATAAAAGTTAATTTAATATGTTTCGAAGGGATTCAACAATACCTATAAATAATAATATTGATTATTTATTAAATTTAAATTGGAAACTTTCCCGAACTACCATGTTGTAAGATGTATATTGTTAACCAGTTGTGTCTGTAACAAAATGAATTGCATTTTGTTTTGTGGACAAGGCACCTCTTATAGGGTCCACCCAATTTTATTTTCTGATGCATGTGCTCCAAGATGGAGACTCTCATAGTCTGAGAGATGCCTTGGCGCGGCTGTGCGGCTTTCACATTTTCTGCAGAAGACGTGTATCCAAACCTCTATTTTTAACCCTAGTGGTGAGACAAGTTTTTTTACATGCTAGCTTGTGAGTGTGCCAGGAAAATGTTTTGCTGTATTTCTTTCTCTCTCTCTCTCAATTCTCTCTCTCTCTC